ACCAACCCCCTCCAGGTCCACCCCCAGCCCGTGCACCCCCACCATCTCGACCCCCACCCAGGATCTGATGATGAACAAGGGGGCCTCCTACTAAACAAAGTGATACATCAATTGATTCCATAAAACACCCATGTCAGTCTTTCATCCTGAAGACAGCAGACATTCAATCTTAAAAAGCCAGATGCTCTGATTTGGAGCTCCGTGCTTTGTTGCTGGACAGCAGAATGTATTTATCTCAATATCAAAATCTACTGAGTTTCATAAAGAAAACTTTTGTAAAGCAAAAATGCAAACATTATAGAAACAACCAGCATGTAGTTACTTGATTAAGCCTGTGTGCACAGTATTAAAGGTGATGGTTAGAGGATGTGCAAACATTTTGGGAAACTTAAGTGTTGCTGAAAGTTATTTCAGTGTTAATGAGGGTAAATAGTTTACTTAGGGTTGGTAGAGAGTAATGTCTAATGAGGAGGTGCAGGAAAATACAGCATGTAGAGAAAGATTATTGGAATTTCATTTATGTTGGCTTTGTTTTTTGTACTTTACACTTTCTTTAAAAAAGAATCTTGACTAATTCATCTTTTTACCTTTTTTAAACGAAATATTGTTTTACATTTTGGGGACATTTTAGGGTAACGGTTCAGTGATACTATTGCAACTGCAGGACAGTTACTCCATATTTTATTTATTATAACACAAGCCCTGTCTGCATCTGTTTTCTAGTTAGCGTCAGGTCGGTTTCTGGCTTTTTTTTAAAATTTGAGTTAGGGGAATGTTAAGATGGATATTAGGAAGCATTCTGGCTTGGCATCAGATGTATTTGTGGTCTTACTAGCAAAGATTACACAGGAAATGTTTATTGTACTGCATTAAGTGACTGAAATGATCCTTTGCATTATTTCTTAAATAACAACCTTTTGTGTTTGTCTCTATTAAACAATGTTTTTTAAATGCTGTCTGGAAGTGATTTCTTTACGTTTTTCAAAAATGTGGTACTATATTACAATAGGAGTTTGCAGTCATGCTGTAAATCAGTTCAGATTGCAGCAAGTGAAACAAACATGACATATTCATTAGTTAATTGGATATTGCAAGATGCAATATTTGGTGATGTAATGTAAGCACATTAAATTAAACCTATTACTCAAGCACTAATAAACAATCAATGACATTTATATTGTTAGGCCTCAAAATTCAAACTAAATACTAATATTTTTCATTGCTTTTAGGTTTATTGAAGGTCATTTGTGTAACATCACTGCACTGGCATAATTCTTATTCATACCACATTTCTAAAAACAGGTTCTCTTGTCATTATGGGTTACTGTGTAGTAAGACAATCAAAAGTCTACCTAAATACTTTCTGAAGCCCCTTTAATACACACTTAACCACTCTGAGAATGTCCTGACTGAGTCGTGGAAATCTGCTTCTCTCCTCCGAGACGCTGACTGACACACTGAGCTCAGACACAAAAGAGTGCGATTAGGAGGTTGCTATGAATCATTTTTGCTGCAATCCATCTGGGGAAATGAGTCACACAAGGCTAATGGTATGTTCACTGACCCTGCACAACAACAACCTACAGCTTCTCTCTCCATGTCTTTAAGGGGCTGCACTGAAGGCACACTGTCACGTGGAAAAACTAATGTGCTGGAGATAACTGGGTTTATAATATGGAGAAATTAAAAAGGGAAATATTGTCTTATCTTCTCATTATAAAAAAAATGTTCTGTATTTTAAATCACCTTAAAATTTATTCATTAACAGTCTTTCGCTGTCTATAGCGCCCTCAAGTGACAAAATAACACAAGACAGATATTAAACTTCACAAACCAGTCTTATTGTCTATCTCCATATTAATGTGTACACATAAATACATGTATTTTTAAGGAAATAGGGAGTATAACTGATGCCTAAACCAGATTACAGTTGAGTAATTTGAAGCCAAAAGCCCTGAAAGCTAAAGGACGTCAGAGCTTTGAGAGAAGGAACAGTTTAAAAACAAACTAATTCACCTTCAATGAGTCTGTCTGAATGGCACACCGACAGACACGCACATAACGGTGCATATCTGCATTTTAGTATGTTTATGAACACACCATCACACCCAACACATTAAGAGTCCAATGAGTAATAAAAGGACACTCTTCAGGCTTTCCTCTTGTTCTTCTGCATTTTCTTTCCAGACATCGCCCCCTTCTGGGCTCCTCTCACCATGCCCTTGAACTGGCCCTGTAGTTTGGCACGCTTCCTGTGAATACACAAAGAATAAAATATGTAAACATCGGATATTTTTATACAAATGAATTCCTTATGAGAATGTAGATGAGAGAATTTAGTTACCTGCGATTGAGCTGGGACTTCTTCAGAGGGATGTAAGCGTAAGGATCATGCTTCCCTGTTTTCTTTACGTCTCCTTTTCCTTTCTGAGAGATGTAGAAGAACAGAAGAGCCATTTAGAATGATCATTTCTAAACCAGGAACTCCTGCAGTGCGTTTCTGAAAGCTGTCGTACTCACCTTTGACTTGTACTCTGCCCCAGTGTCTTCACTTCCTCTCAGGGGTCTGTGGATACCTGAACCCCCAGCTGAGAAGACGAAAAAGATGTGCTGCTTAGTCTCATGACGTGCTGCCTATCCAGCACCTAGGCTTAATGCAACCCCCTTAATGCTTAAGCAGTTTTATCTCTGAGGATGTTCGGCACCAGTCCTACCTTTGTATTTAAGCTGTGGCGCAATGTCCATGTCCTCGTCCATGTTGTCATCTCTGAACTTCCTTTTCTGTATCTTTTTCTGAAGGTGATTAAAAACAAAAAATAGTTAAAATGGCAGTAAAAATGTCTCTACAGTAACAACAGCACTAAAAACATTTCTGTGTCACAAATGTGACCCGCTCTATTTCAAAATAAACGTGGATTTGCGTAAAAAACTATTTTTTCGGGGTTCGGGTGTTTTGTTTGATTTTAAACAAACAAAGTCTTGGCTTTCAGAATATGAAACTTTTATTTCCAAACTCACACGATAAATACATTCTTTAAACTTGTAAAAGGGAAGATGACAGGTAATCTGCTCTTCCGCAGCGCCGCCCCCCCTCCCTCCGGCTGACATTATGAATGTAAGCGTAGAGTAATCACAAATAACAAGGCAGGGTCCGTTACAGTTTGCTTTCATCTGATTTCAATTAAACAAAGTTTTGGCTTTCAGAATATTAAACTTGTTTCGGCAAATTCAGATGATAAATACAACTTTGAAGCTTGTAACGGAATAGTTACAAGCGGAGAACGGAGTAACTTAACGTCACAGCAAGCATAACAACAGCCGGTGTTTCTCGTGAGGGTTTTGCACAGAAAAAAAAACGCAATACACACAAATGCAAAAATACACAAACACACACAAGTATACACACACACACACTCGCAAGCTTCCCCCAGACCAGTAATCCAAACGAAAATATCTTCCCTCCGTAGTATTTTGATCATTTGCTCCGCTAATAATCAATCAGATCGATGGATTCCAGAGAAGAGAAAACTTTGAAGGCCTATGATGACTCGGTGACAGTCATTATATAATGTGACATATTTCGCTTAATATTTGGAGTACAAAAACAATCCTGATATCATTAGAAAGCTAGGAATATCCTCTTTCCAGCAGTGTCTACAACTCAAAATGTGTCTTCGGGTCAATGCGACTGATTTCGATAGAGCAGGTCACATATTATGAATTTGTTGCCCTTTTTTTCTCATATACATGATAATAAACAAAACAATGACACACATTGACGCATCTTCGAGCTACGTTACGCCAACAGCTACAGAAAATGCATTTGCTGTTATGGTGAAGGTTATCCACAATTAATTACATTCCACAACATTCAATTCATTTTCCAGACCATGACCATAAAACCCCTAATGATCCTTCTGCTGGCTATAGGAGGGGCAACAACCTGCATATATTTTTGTCAAATGTCCGAAATGTTATTACACAATATCTCAAATATGACACAGTAAGGCAAAACCCAGCTAGTTTAGAGCAGTGCTAGCTACTCTAAACATGCAAGCAAAGTCTGCCTCCCAACAGTCACCCTTCTTATTCTCACTTTCCATACTCTGACCCTGACCAACCTTGTGTGTGTGTGTTTGTCTCTGTCTGTGTGTGTGTCTCTCTCTCTCTCTCTCTCTCTCTCTCTCTCTCTCTGTGTGTGTCTCTGTCTGTGTCTGTGTCTGTCTCTGTCTGTGTGTCTCTCTCTCTGTCTCTGTCTGTGTGTCTGTCTCTGTCTCTCTCTGTCTCTCTCTGTCTGTGTGTGTGTGTAGAAGCCTCATGCTGAACCCCGGGGTCGTATGAGGAGGGCGGGCAGCAGAGAGATGCTGAACAGAGAACCCAGCCCCCCCCCTCCTTTTGTCCCTGAACCCCCGAAGGTGAGACCCTCCCCCTCTTTCCTCATCCAAAATCACTCTCTATACACGTCCTGGTGATTATTAAGCCTTAAGAAAGCTCTCCCCAGTTTGTACTTATAAATAAATAATCATCAACTGTCCTTTCCTGCGACAGGTGCGCGCTCAGACTCGGACCGACTCGTCTCGGAGCTACGACTCTCACTCCAGCAGCACCATCAGCAGCGACGTAGTGGCTGTGAACAGACCGCTCCCCCCCCCTGTGGCCCTGAAGCCCCCCGTCCCCCGTCTGACTCAGACCTCAGAGAAGCCCAGCCCGGGGGAGGAGGACCCCGTCGGCAAGTCCTTCCTGGGCAAGGTTAGAGAAACACAATGAATACTTAATGCAACAGATCTTTTAAACCTCAAGCATTTTTTTATTTGATTAGATTTATTTCGAATGTGTAAAACAATAAAAAAAATATCCTAAATGAGTACTACTATTATACAATACAAAATTAAGCAGTGTCAAATTGATATGCAAACATATTACTGATTCTAAATGATGTATAAACAAATGATCTACTTAATTACACATCTGAAAAGGGGTACACTTATTAAATCCCACCCCTTCTCCCAAAAACTAAATTATTAACATGTACATACATGAGACATACATTTTTTTGTTCTTAAAGAAATAAGTTTGTTATTGGAAAAACAAGCAAAGAAATACTCAGAGGCTTTGACTCGGTTATTATTATTAAATGATTATTTATTTCATTTCCTTCCTCCTTTTGCTTCTAATATGAAATAGAAAACGGGGGATCAGGTAAACTGAATGCATCGTTTTGAATGTTCGTAACCCTCCATTAAAATCCCAAATAACTCAATGTGTTTTGCCATCATCATCTCATGGAGATCTTACTCTAGTGTTTCACTAACTGTCACTTTTGAAACTTGTGTGGATGTGCAGTATCTACTATTTATTATTGTAAAAAATGAAATGTTAAAATGAAATGTTAATTATGATATGTGTTTTTTCTCTCCTAGATTAAAGCCTTTGAGAAGATGGACCATCTGGCCCGGGCTCAGAGGATGCTCGAGCTGCAGGAAGCCGAAAACGCTCGAGTAGGTTCACTTTTTATTCATATTACAGCATGAAGTGTGGTGTGTGTGTGGGGGGGGGTCTGCTCAGGGGCCGCTCGTCTGTTCTTCTGACCTGATACTCACTTAAAACATTAAGAGAATAAGAACAAATGTGTTTCCAATGATTTATATAGGAGTGAAATCCTCTGACTGTGTAATTGTAACAACTACAGTATAGTTCTTTGAGGAAATGCAGCTTCCTCGTTCGGGGCGCTCTGACAAAGAAAACAATCTTCCAATCGGGCGGATGATAATCAAAAGAGGGAATGTTGTGCTGAGTTCAGAAAACTGACCTGATGGGTTTGACTCAGACTGACTCACAGCTGAACGCAGGGCGAGGACTTTGGGTTTTGTTTGTCATTGATTCATGAAGGGAGCTTTTTATGGCAGTGTTGTTTCATGTGCACTTGTTTTTTATTCAAATTTGGCACCAACATCCACTCTGACTCGAGGAGAAATGCGTCCTATTTGCTTGTCAGAGGGTCAACGTCACTAATGTCACAAATCAGAACCATAATACTTTATTTATCCCCGGGGAAGTTGGGTTTCGTGCCTTTGCCTTGGTGTACATCGTGCATAAGTAAACACAGTTAAAGAAGATACATTGTAAGAAATTGACCAAAAATAAGACAATTACAAAACACTTTTTTAATATTTAGTAAAGTTTATAGATATACCCAAAACGATGTACATTATAATATGTACTACATAGACTCAGAATATAAAGTAAAACATGTGCAGTATTGGTATGGAAAGTAGAGAGTTCTGCAGATATTTAAAGAGGTAGCTCTGTGTACAAATGTGCAAAATATTCAGAAGTTGTTCGGGACTGACGGTATTAAAATTAAAAAAATAGTGTAAGAATGTGCAATGCAAAGATAAAATCAGATACAAAAAGAGAAGAAGTTAGTGTACAAATGTTACTACAGTATATAATATGTGCATTACAATATGTATGTGGAGTATAAGTAAGAGGTAAATCATGGATTGCACAGTTTGAGCTGCTGATGGTGAAGTAAACAGCTATTCCTATCTGTTCTGATGTCTCTGTGTCTCTGTTCCTCTCCTCTCTGCACAGCTGGAAATCGCCCAGAAGCATCCGGACATCTACGCCGTCCCGGTGAAACTGCCAAAACCCAACCACAACCGCCCGCAGCCAATCGGGTGAGAGCAGCACTCCTCACAGTGAACATGACTCACAGAATGATGTTTGGTCTCTGAGAAAGAAAGATAACTCGATAACTTCTGAAACAACATCCATAACATTCATATGTTTGCAACTTATATATATCAATATTCCAATTACCGTAATTTTCGGACTATAAGCCGCGCCTTTTTCCCTATTTTTCGACGCTGCGGTTTATATAACGGTGCGGCTAATCTATGGATTTTTACAGCTAACGGCCAACACCTTTAACTCTATGGGCTCTATGGCCGGTCCGCGGACCCCCACCTTGTTGGTGTTTGTGTTTGGGTTCCAGCATGTAAAGCTGGAGGCCGGAAAAGGTGGGACAGGTAGCGCGCAAAAAGTAAAAGTGGAACCGAGAGTGGTATGCCGCTGCTGCGGCTTATATTCAGGTGCGCCTTATAGTCCGAAAATTACGGTACTTGTATATAGACTATTCTGCACTTTTTCTATTATATTATATTTTATTGTATTTAGGGTGAGAGCAGCCCTCCTCACAGTGAACGTACCTCACAGCAGGGAGGTCCAAACTACGGCTCGAAACTTGTGCTTTTCTCATATTATACTTCTTAAATATATATGTAATATATTACACAGTAGTATTCATGTGTTAATAAGCCCACTTTTCAAATAAATTCAGTCAAATAAAGTTGGAAACATGTTCTAACAAATCTTAGTTGACAAGAAAAAAGGCCAATTATTTAAATAACAAGCTTGAAATCTACCCTTCATATTTCTCCTTATTATAATCAATCAGAGGCTTCTGTTTTAAGGGATGAGCTGCCAACACTCACAAGCATCATTGACCTACATTTGATTGATTGTGCTAACTTATAACTGAACTTATGAGGCGATACACCTCTAGTGAGTGGCCCAGCCCTTCGTATATATTTCTGTATGTGGCCCTCGGTGAAAAAAGTTTGGACACCCCTGCGTTCCAAAATGATGTTGTGGACGTTTGGTCTTTGAGACAGAAAATATAAGTGTGTGTGTTGTGGTATCAGCTCCAGCTCCAACGCAGAGCAGCAGCCCCCCCCCAGGTCGCAGCATTACGAGGACGAGGAGGCAGAGTACCGCCGGCAGCTGGCCGACCAGAACAAGAGAGGCTACTACAACCCCAAGAGGTACAACGACACCGAGCTGTAGGCCCACAGGAAGTGACATCATCCCCGCAGGACCCCTCCCATATCTTCATCACTACAAGCCGACAGCAGCGTGGCCTTGGTAACGGCTCAACCAGCTCTACCTCGATGGAAAGTCTCTGAACTTCTTTCTACCTGGAGACAGATTCCTGGACATTTTAACACTAATTCCAGGACATTTTAAAAACACACAATATTCCTATCAAGGTGCGTTTTTCAAAGTTTAACGTCCTACACAAATAGGAGATTTTCTGACGTTCCCTTTCAAAGATATCATCTTTTTTTGATGCGTCTGAAAGGAGTTTTCTTCCCCAATACATCGGGGCCCAGTCCCTCATATGTTACCATTACAGATTAGAGCATCAGAGCTAAGCATGTTCTTCTAAAAGTTAAATACGCAGTGACTTTATTGAAAAGGTTTTTAGAAAATACACCTTTTTTGGCTTTTTTTTAAAGATATTTTCATCTGTAAGAATGAATAACTTGCCCTCTGCACGACACATATGATTTTTAACCTGATTCATACTCTGATTGAATCGAAAAATAATGCTGTTGATTAATTTTCTTTGTCTAATCGCAATATTTTTCTGTCATGCATTTAAAAAAGTAAGAGTTTTGCCAACATAATCTTTTAAAATTTTCAAAAATAAAAGTTAATGCGCACTTTCAATTCAACCTCTTGTGGCCAAAATGAGCATAACAACCACAAAAACTTGATAATTTGACAACCCATTTGTAACATTACTTTAAAGGAACTTAAACAAATTATATTACCAAATAATTTTGTACTTGTTCTTATATCATAAACACACAGGAGAGAAAACTATTGAAATCAGACAAAATTCTCTCTTGCCATCATCTCAAATTAGCGATTCTGGAAATCCTTCAGAACTTCCATTTGCAAAAAGTTTTTAAGTTTTTTTTTTTTAAGGATTTTAAGACAATACCATTTTTAGGAACAAATGTGTTTTCACTGGGATGTCACAGCAACATAGAAACTGGAGCTAACACCAATAGATATGGTGCTGTAGACAATGTACAGTGTGTAGACTTTGGTTCATCCCAACAGTTTTGTGCTTTTATCTGCCCATGTCTAAACCTCCACTATAGCTTCTTTCAGAACCAGAACATTATATAAATCACACAGTGTGTCAGTATGGGTCGTTCACTCTGATGTCAAGTAGGTGTTGGTCTTCTTCTCCTTTTCCCGACCGCTCTTTTCTGATTTACTGTACGCCTCTACATGTGTATATATACTCTACACTGTGTTATATGCGTGCATTCTGGGAAGCGGCATATTTTCAAGTGCCTTTTAGCTCTGGATGGGGGAAACATTACATTATCAATGCATTTCTGTAATATTTTGGCCAGTCAACACTGAAAAATAGCAGATATACATTTAATAATCTGGAAAATGTAGCCGCTTGCGATCCAATTACATGATAACGTGTTTCGGAGAATGCTCTGCACTTCCATAGGAGCTGCATTTAAACATTTCTGTATTCAAGTCAACACACGATGTTACAGAAGTCACTGTTAAAATATATCAAGACTGTGCGTAGTGTAAACAAATGTAGTGGTAGAGTTGGATTTAATGGTGCAACAGAGCTGAAGCAGCTTGCTTCCAGAGACAATAACATTGTTATTGCATATTTTATGTTTTTATATTGATATACAGTCTTTGTACATCTGGAATATGGTGACGACAATCATGTTGGTTGATCTGATTCTTTTTAAATGTCTGTTAGTTTGTGATTTCTCTTTATTAGTTTGTGATCTCCTTTAGTGTTACAGAACGTACTCTTGTGAAATTCAAATAAATAAATCATGTTTTTACATTCACATTTTTGCAATGTCTTCTTGGAAGTGTTTAGTCTTTAGTTGTTGTGTTGTCTGACCAACGAGAGTTGCTGATTCACCGCTGCCTTGTTTGGTTGATTTGTGTTATTGTATAACTTCAGGGTTGGAAAGAGATGTAGGAGGAACCGACACAAAGTAATATAATTCTTTCTTTTCTTTAGGATACTTCTCATTACTTTTTTATGAATTATTCTATAACGTACAATAAAATACACTTTTTAATGTCATAAAGAATACTTATATATGAATAATACCGTTTTTAGTTACATTATTTTTATTTCTTAAATACTTATCTATATCTTTTTCAAATATTTAAGTCGTACTCTACCCTTTTGTTTTTTCGGGAAATGTAAAACATACTCTGTAGGTTTCTTTTGCATGTCTTTAATATACTATACTATGTTAATTTTGTTACTTTGACATACATTACTATGTCGTTTAATTCAATATTTTCGACTTAGTGATATTTCGACTTCTGATATTTTCCACACCCATAATATATCATTTTTGAATAAAACAAACCAGCATTGACTGCCTTTTCTTGAGACTTTATTCAGCAGAATTATACATGCATTCCTCTTTATCTTTCTCACTTCAGTTCAAAAGTTCTTCATCATCTGAGTCGCCCTGACAACTTATAGGTCCAACATGATTAGAGTACATTCAGATATTACAGCTATTTAACCAAAGGTAATATTTACTCTGTTTGCCACCTAGATATGCAAAATAAAATCCACAATTTCTCTTTGGTCGAACATAACACGTCACATTAAAACTCCGGCCTAGTGAGATAATCTGCCTTCTGCTGCGAATCTGTAGATGTACATGTTTACATGACAGTGTACTGTACAGATTAAGGCAAGTCAAGTGATACTGAACAGGATACAGATGATTCAGAACAACTGGAAGATGGATGGAAATAGAGTGAGTGATGTGAGACGTGTGTTCAGATGTAGACGGGCTGCTCCTCTGCGCTGCCAAGGCACACAGTCGCCGCAGGCATCGTCTTCATGTGGATCTGGAGCAGAAAGAATACGAATTATGAGAATTAAAACACAAAAAGAGACGTTTATTAGAAGGGAAGTATACTGATTTCAATCATAAATGAAGTTGTGTTGCTTTAATGTGCTGTTCTTTCAATCTTTAATATGCTATTGTCAATGAAACTCAACTTTTCCCACGGATCCTTCTAACTAAAACCAGGAGAAAGTGTAATTTTGCTCTTTAAAAATGTATAAAGGGACACGGCCACATTTCATAGAATTAACAAACTACTGATGACCACTTCTATCCCCATAAGAAAAAGGTTGCTTGGTCTAATTACCAAAATATTGTAATTGATTGTTTGTTTGACTGTTATTACACCTGCAGGATTGTCTCTCACTAAGTCAATTATGCCTCTGTTACGAAACATCCCTTCTGCTATTGTATTAAGTTCATGAACATTGTATAAGATGCACATCAGAAAAAAAGGACAATGAGAAGGGGAGGATTTCAATGTATACTGTTCCCTTATTGCAAATGTCTACTACTCCCTGTGACTGCAAGTATATCTCATTGCAACTGGTGAAATGTCCTCAACTATCTTTTAAATAAAGAATTGAAAAAAGGGGGAACTTTGGGATTTTGACATGAACAAAAACCGACTACAGGAAAGGGGAAAAAAGCATAATATGGCCCCTTTAACACCACATACAAAAAGCAAAGTAGAACTAACTAGCATCCTTTGAGTAGGAACACATATTCTCAGAAATGTATTCTTTTGATTTAAAAAGGGAGAGCCCTCCTACCTCTCCCATGGCGTTAGAAAGAATCTGGACGATCTTCTCATGAGGCGTTGCCACCACACTCTGGCTGTTGATCTCGATAATGCGGTGACCGACGCGGACGCCACCTCTCTCAGCGATGCCTCCTCTCATCAGGCTGCAGATCTGTTAAACACAGGGAGAGTGGTCTTAAAGTGAAGACAGACGCCGTAGCAGAGAATCATATTAAAGCTCCTAGTGACAGTAACTGAGACTAACCACGTACACACTATAAATATGTCCACATAACAATAACTGCTCCAGGTTTGTTGCTAAGGAACTCTATGTTTACATCACTGTTAAAGCTATTATATAATCATCAGAAGAAGGGAAGCAGAATTAGCATTATACGAGGGTATTATCAGCCCCCGCACTCACAATGCCGTTCTGGACGCTGAAGCCCAGCTGGTATCTGAGGTCCGGTCTGCGGATGAGCACCATAGTAACAGGAGGACACCTGACGATGTTCAGCTTCATCCGGGACTGAGACTTGAGACCCTGAGGGAGGACAGAGTGTGGTTAGCTGCAGGAGGCCGACATCACAGAGGTCAAAACACACAACAAAAGAGGGGGAAAAGAAATAGGTAGGGGTACCATGCGCCTGCCCTGTGGTACACCAAGTCAGTACTGTATGGCTGCATACTCCTTGTCCTGTTGTTTTAAGCTAAATGAAGCACTTAAACTTATTAAAAAGGACAACACCTGGAAGATGGATGGATAAAATGTGACCTTTAACATGATGTATTATTCCAAATTAAAAAGAAGATTATGACATATCAACAAAGCAGCTCTTAATTTAAGTGATAAGTTCTGCTTCTTGAAGCATAAATATTGTAGTCCATTTAAACATTGTCGTGCCGTAGAAAATGCTTAGACACCCTATCACTTCCTGTTATGGTAAGAAAGCAACTGACTTGTCCGTGTTTAAGTGAAATAAATATGGAATGATCCTAAAAATATGCGAAAGAATAAGTGGCGTACCTTGATGATGCTCTGGCAGGTGCTGAGCGGCAGTCCCACCAGACTCGTCCCATTGATGGTCATGATCTGATCACCGATGTTCAGGCGACTGGACTTCTCCGCCGGCCCAGTATGCATCATACTGGCGATGATGACGGTGGGGAGGATGGAGCCCCAGCCCGACTCCACTATCACCACGCCAAGCATCTCTCCTTTCTGCTTCTCAATGTAAACCTTCAAGGAACCACAATGGAGAGGTTTATTGTCTTTAAAATAAAAACTTTACAGAGACAGAATGAGCTCTTATAGTGGAGTCATCTTAAAGTCATCCTTTGTTTATGAACTGGCTTCCTTCTTCAGGATGGACCATGGACACATTCACTGTTCAAATGTTGTATTTAAAGAGTGACTCTCATGGGCTTCTTTCAGTTAACTTCATTCGTTTTTTTTATGAGAAGACAGCAGGTGTTCATTGCAACCTGGGGCGGGTTGATCTGAGGTCAGACCAGGATGAGCATCTCTAAATTCACCTTGATAAAATACTTTTTTTAAAACTGTCCCGCAGCTGTGACTCCAAAACCAGCTGCTCATCTGAAACCACTGGAAGGCAAACTAATAGATTGAAATGTTGGCAATGACTCATGTTCATAAAAATATGTACTAATACTTTACGACTTTATGTATGATTTACATTATTATTATGACTATCAATAACATGTTTATATGTACAACATTTGTAAAAGTCGTACAACTTATAAAAGGTCAATCAATATTTAAAGTGAAATATTCTATTACATTCTATTTTGTTTTTTTTTAACAGTTTTTACTTTAGTTTAAGCAAATTATATGTTATTACATGTTCACATTTTTAGCTACCGTTTTTTTTATTTTTTTTTCCAACTGTATCTAGATTAAGATATTTTGACAAAATTAAATAAAAGCCTCAATTCAACTTAAAGTTTTAATTGTAAAAGTCAGATTAATGTAGAGGTAAATAAATAATAATGAGCAATTGTTTTGGAAGGTAGTTCTGTGTATCGTGAGAATGTATTTTTATGAGTGTAAAATAAACTAATTTAAGCAGAAGTACTACTTTAAGGAGCGCTGTGACTGTGCTGCCCCCTGCTGGCTCACTTACATCCCTGCAGTTCTCTGACTTGGAGAAGTGGATGAGGTCGTCGTTGTACATGTCCTGAGTGTTCAGCAGGTCGCTGTACTCCCTCTGGCTCAGGTCCTCCGGGTCGATGCCGTTGGCCCTGAGGAACTCCTGGTAGGCCACGCTGAAAGACTGACCGATGGACTGAGCGATCAGCTGCGCCTGAACGAGAGGAAGAGGAAGAGGAAGAAGAGAGCTCTTTATAGAGGCATCTGGAATTAATGCTGCGCAGATAAACTTGGCATGACCCTCATGATCAAAAGGCTTGTTGACATTTAAACACAAACACACACACACATGCATTTATACATTACTTGTGAGGACTCTTACTGACACTATTTTTTGTTGTTGTTGCAATTAACCAAATGCACAGTGTTATTGTTGTAATTGAACTATTAACAAATATTCTCAATAAAACCAAGTTGTAATACACCAGAATGTTTCCTTAAGTTTCAAACTTCTCCATGTGTAAATCTTGTTTTTGTAAATGTCAGCATGACCTTTCTTCTCCTAATGAATTTCTTTGTAGCAAAATATTAGTGCATGTAAAAACAATAAAAAAACGTTTTTAACAAAGATAGCACTGACATAAGCCTAGCTAAGCAGGAAGGGCATACACAATCCTAACTTCTTAAAAGAGGCCTTCTAATAACTCCAGGCCAAATGACAGCATGCTGCAAGCTTTCCTAATCTCCAGGTGATGGACCTGAAACTCCTCTTGTCTAACTCAATATTATTGTATTTTTAACTAGTGTTGCTTAGATAATGCCACAATTAGCCATGTTGTTTTCAGCTAATAAATACATTTCCTGGTCCTGCCAAGACGGTAGCGAGTAGTAAACCCAAAATACAAGCATCCTAACAGATTTCTAATAGGATAAAACAACAACATAGTTATGAATTAATGCCTCACGTCCTCGGACTCGAACACGTGGCAGATCATCCTGTACAGCCTCCGGTCGTCGGGGCTCATGGTGGTCTGCTCGGCGGCCTGGTCCAGGTTCTCCTGCGTGCTGCGGGAGCGCACCATCTTCCCCCGGGCCATCAGCACCACCATGTTC